AAAGCACTGCTAAGAACACTGCCAGGAAGCTGCTGGTTTTGGTTGTGTTTCTAGAGTGTTTTGAGCTGTTGTTTTGACTGGCCCAACCATAGGCAGTGGCACACTCTTGAAGGGAGTTGTGTGGCCATTGTTTGACACTTGATGGGGCTGGTTTGACCTTTTTGTGACATTGATTGAGGTTCCACTACTACATAATAGACATTTAACATCGCCCCATACCCATCGGATATCATGAAAATCGCTGGGTAAAAACAAAAAAATTCGCCCAACGTTATCCGACTAGTTAACTGTTATGCTTGTTAATATTCTATGGACATTATACACCCCATTTTTAAAAGCCGCTGCTTAATCATTTTCTAACTTTATGCTCTCAAATAAAAAGATACTAGTCCAGTACTCCATATTATATTCAATCACTCTTCGATCTAATCATTCATGGTCATTAAACTTTTGCAGGTTGTGGTCTATAGCTTGAAACTCTTTAAGGACTATTTGATTTGATGCTAACAAATCTTGTTGAGGCTTGAGAAGGTGATGCTATTGTGCTGCTGGCATATATATCTGGTGCTGAAGCTATTTGTTCAAATACTAGCTTGTATATATTTGGCTTTGGCTTTGGCTTGAACTTATAAAATGGAGGGCCATATAGACCAAGCCTGCTCGCAATGATAGGATGATGGTGTTTGTACGTGGCCAGATTGACTCTGAACACATCTTTTAGGATTGGATTTAGAGGTAGCAGAGCAAAATTGGGGTGAAATTTGGACAGTGTACCTTAGGTTTTTTGCTTATATCTCTTATTTGTAGGGTACTTATTACTCCGTATGTTTTAACTTTGTATTATGCTTTGGGCATTACACAGCATGCTCTTTTTATTTTTTATTTTCTCTAATAAATATATACGAGTATAAATACCGCTAGCAATAACAAAAGTTTGTGCAAAAGTACTTTTAGATTAGACAACCTGTCCATGTACTTTTTATTTTCTTTCAATAAAAGTGTTTATTTTTTGAAATGATAATTGTTTTAAACCGAGGTTATTTGATTGTTGTCTAAAGTTTTGCCCAAAATTACTAAAGTAATGTTAGATAGTGTACACATACTCATTGTAGTGAAGGTTATCGTTTCTTTGAACTTTAAAAAAGTTTGAGACCTAATAGCTATGCTACTGTTTAAAAAGAGTATTCTTAACTTATTATAAACAACTCTAGCAAAACAATTATATGACAAGACAATTAGTAATAGATTACTATTTCTCATATTTTTAAAAATAGTTCTACGTTTACTATCCACACTACTCTTTAAAAAAGTTTTCTTAACTTATTCTAGACAACTCTGAAAAAACCCGTGTGACACAGACTACTAGTAATACATTACCGTTTCTCATGACTTTAAAAATAGTTCTAGGCTTTATAGTGTGACTATTGTTTAAAATTAGTATTCTTAATTTATTATAGACATTTGTGGAAACAAAAATTGTATTTTGATATTACATAGACAACTACTAATAGATTACCATTTCTATGAACTTTAAAAACAGATGTTGGCTAAGTACCTAGACTATTGTTAAAAAGGAGTATTATATTCTTATTATAAACAACAGTGCCAAAAATACTTTATGACATAGACAACTAGCAATAGATTATTGTTTCTCATAACTTTAAAAATAGTTGTAGACTGAATAACTAGACTACTGTTTAAAAAGAGTATTCTTAACTTATTGTTGACAACTGTGATAACAAAAATTGTATTTTGATATGACACAGACAACTAATAATAGAATACCGTTTCTCGAAACTTTAAAAATAGTTTTAAGCATAATAGCTAGACTACTACTTTTGTAGCTAACAACAACAAACAGTAGTCTGATTTTTTTTAACTACTGTTTTTTCATAAACAGTAGTTAATCAACAGTCGTCTGACACTGTTTTTGGCGTAGTGTTCTTCGTCACTAATTAGATGATAATATTTTGAGGAAACAACTTCCTTAAAACATATATCACCTAGTGGAGCTTTCTCTTCAACATCCTTTTCAAAGAAGTTTTCACAACTAAGGAGAGAATCAATAAGGATTGAATCTTCTTGTGCCTTAGAAGTTGGTTCTTCTACGAAGACATCTTCTTCATCTTTGACATGGTAATCAAAGACATCTTCGTAATTGCCATCTTGTTGATTCTCATATGCTTCTATGATCCTTACATGTTCTTCATAAGAATGGCTTCTTTATTTTTGCACCTCCAATAATGATGGCCATAGCCACAGCACATGTAGCACCGTTTGATAGGTCCTTGAAGGATTGCCTCATTTGCATAAATAATCTCAAGATTTTTGAAGTATCTTTGGATATCCATATCTCAGTGACCAGAGATTGAAATGTCGTGATTCCAACTCTATAAGTTAGATATTGAAGTCCATAAAGACATATCAAAATTTCAGAGCCATTGAAGTATGTGTGCTACCTCGTTGGAGACAAAAGAAGCAAGCTAGACAGCATTTGGACAGGACTGCATTGTCAACTTTGGAAGGGCGTATCTCGCTAACCACAACTCTAAATTGAGTGAAATCAGCGGCCAGACGTAGATAAAAGCTTGAACATTCAGACTGAAAAATTTCACGTCGAAATTAGTTTTGCAACTTCCTCCGTGATCACTGTTTTGGAGCTGAGATTTTCAGGAGCAATTTGTAGCAGCCTTGTTTTTGTGCAATGTGGGTGAAGCTGGTCCTCCGGTAATCGTCGAGACTTGAGAAAGTCGTCGAAGTTGAGCTCTGATACCAGATGTTGTACCCGAGACCCGGGGTCTTATCGAGTAGCTATTTTGTGGCGGATTAGCAGAAGGAAATGGATGATGGAATTGAAGGGATGAAATATGAAGTGTGGGAAAGAGTTCTTTTTGGTGTTTTTAATGAGAGAAAAGAATAAGTTTAAGAAGAAGAAATGGTGAGGAATGAAATGGGCAGAAATAAAGTGAAGGGATAAACCAAGTTGGTGTTAAGAGATATGACACACTCTTATCTTAACTTGGGGCTTTTATCTTCTTTTACACATTAATAACCACTACTAATGTATAAAATTAGACTCCTAACACGCACTCAAAAGTAGCCAACTTTAGAGATTTTGCATTAGGAAATTTTTTTAAAATAGCATCACACTATTTTAAAGAATTACTCAAAGAGTAAAGCAAAGGCTTTTAATTCAATAATCTAGTTATTACAATGGCCTCATGGCTGAAGTATTTATACAACAACAAATAAGGAAAAATACAATAAAGGAAACTTCCTACTTCTTTCCTAAAAATCAAAGATTAATGTCCTTCCATGTGAGCTGATTTTCCAAGATGCTTCTCCTGATTTTGGCTTGATCTTTCTTGGGTTTATTTAGGGAGAAATTCGTGCATATAAGGGAGAAAACAAAGGGGAATCAAGCTTTAGACTTTTGTGAATAAAATGCCAAAACAGCACTATTCATTCAATGACTTTGTTTCTGATTTTGTTCCTTTGTTTCAAAAGTGATTATGTTTTTTTGCTTTGTGAAACAAAAGACTTTATTCTTTGTTAAAAATCAGGGGATAATTTTAGCTTTTTATCCAATATTAGGATGAGCAAACAGGAACTGATTCACTCATTCACTCATGGTTCAGAGATGTAGGAATAATCGATTAGCACATTTAGTAAATCGATTAATTGAGTTTAGCTCAAACTGGGAATGTTCTGAGGAACCCGATAATCGATTGACACTACAAGACAATCGATTTACAAGGACTTATTCGGAACTGGATATTTTCTGAGGGTGAGGATAATCGATTATCAAGTTATTGACAATCGATTATGAGAAGTTATGGACTTTGAAGAAGAATCTGCGGACTTCAATAGTCGATTATCAATTAAGGATAATCGATTATTTAGGGGTTCAGAATCAGGATTAGAAGAAAAGAAGGGAAGGCATTATTTGGGTAAAAGGTTTTTGAAAAGACAAAAACAAGAAACAAAGGTTTTGGCTTTTATTTTCGATGAGGGGTTAAAATGGATGGAAANTCGATTATGAGAAGTTATGGACTTTGAAGAAGAATCTGCGGACTTCAATAGTCGATTATCAATTAAGGATAATCGATTATTTAGGGGTTCAGAATCAGGATTAGAAGAAAAGAAGGGAAGGCATTATTTGGGTAAAAGGTTTTTGAAAAGACAAAAACAAGAAACAAAGGTTTTGGCTTTTATTTTCGATGAGGGGTTAAAATGGATGGAAAACACTTTATTTTGGATAAAAGAAAAGAAAGAAAACTTTTGGATATGTTGGGAGAGTTTGGATTTTGGTGGAGTCATCCAGGGGTACATCAGTTCCTTATGCGACGGCCGTTGGATCCATCATGTATGCGATGGTATGTACGAGACCTGATGTCGCCTTTGCTCTGAGTGTCAAGCCCAACCCTGGCGAAAGCCATTGGACGGCTGTGAAGAACATCCCTAAGTACTTCCGTAAGACTAAGGATGCCTTCCTTGTATATGGCGGAAAAGAAAAGCTCAGCGTTGTCGGATATACTGATGCCAGCTTCCAAACCGATAGAGACGACTTCAAGTCGCAGGCAGGGTATGTGTTTTGTTTGAATGTCGGAGCTGTTACCTGGAAGAGTTACAAGCAAGATACTACAGTTGATTCCACTATAGAAGAAGAGTACATAACTGCAGCCGAGGCAGCCAAGGAAGGTGTGTGGCTCAAGAATTTTATTAATGAGTCTGGAGTGGTTCCTAGCATCAAGAACCCTATACCATTGTTTTGCGACAACAATGGGGCAATTGCATAAGTGAAAGAACCTCGGTCTCACCAGAAGACCAAACACATCGTTAGACGTTATCACATCATACAAGAAATCGTTGCACGTGGGGACGTTGAGATTTGCAAGATAGGTATAGACGACAATATTATACGAATCCGTTGACGAAGGCTGTTATACCCGAACTGGGGGTCTAAACGAGTTGTTATTTTGAGGAGGAATCAAGGGATGATGCAACTTGAGTTCAGGATTCTGCGGGACCAGATAGTCGACTATCAAGAGTTGATAATCGATTATTGAGATTTGCAGCAAACGCCGAGAAAGTCCTGAAGACTGAGATAATCGATTATCTATGTTTGATAATCGATTATTGAGAATCGCATCGGACGCCGAGAAAGTCCTGAAGGGTGAGATAGTCGATTATCTTAATTGATAATCGATTATTAAGGCAATCAGGATCCGGAAACCTGGGTGGGTAATAGTGATGTTTTTGTG